AGGTTCACTGAACTTGCTGGTCCCTCCAGGTTTGCTCTTCTTGAGCTCATTCTCCTTAGCGCGACCGTTCGCGCCATCGTCGCTACCGACCGCTCCATCCTTGGTGCTGATGCTTGCTGCCACTTGCCTCTCCTTAGGCATAGGGACCACTGGGATCTGCCACATCTCGTTGTAGACATCCCTGTCCTCATGAAGGTCCCAAAGAATTCGATCGCCAAGCCTTGCGGTGTAGGTCTTGGCTCCCTTCGAGTTCGTGTCCATGCCGGCCTTTGCCAACCGCCGCACGGAAATCAGGTTTGCAGCAAGGCTGGGCACCCAAAGCACGTTCTTGAGGCCCACCATCTTCCCATCAGCACCCTTGAACATGGCCTTGCCCATGCCTTTCACCTCTGCTCGCTGCCCCAAAGCCGATGTGACATGCTTCACCGGTGACGGCTCGAGTTCGGTGAGCAAGTCCGGGCGAGGTGTCATGCTATAGGTAGCGCCACTATCAATCACCCAATAGTCCAGGGGGTGTAGGGTCACCTTCCCCACAGCTGCTGGCTCCTCAAAGCCTTCATCCTTCTCTGGACCAGCCGGTACTTGCGTCGACACGAAGTAGAATAGACCCGGGTATCGATCGTCGCTCGGGTCCTTGTCGTTGTCTCCGCTCTTCATGTTTGCAGCTCCGCCACCGCGACCGCCACGGCCTCCACGGCCTCGTCCTCTCCCTCCTCCTGCTCCTCTACCCTCTTGGCCTTGAGCAGGGGTCCAACCATCAGGGAGTTTGTAGCAGTCGCGCCACATGTGTCCGCTCTTGTGGCAATAGTGACACTCGCCGTCGAATCGGCCGCGACCGCGTCCGTAGCTCTTGTCGTCGCTGCCGTAACCGCCACTCCTGCGGCCTCCGCCGAAGTTGCTGCCACCAAACCTTCCTCCCCCTCGTCCTCTGCCTCTTCCTCGACCATATCCACGGCCGATGCTCGCTGCCCCAGCGCCATCCGCACTCGCCAACTCACGGCGGCGGAAATCCTCTTGAAGGATAGCTCGCTTCACGTCTTCAAGCGAGAGGCGGGGCAAGTCGCGATTAAGGTTGATGATGAGCGAGGACCATGACTCTGGGAGTAAGGCCAGCAACTTGGTCTTCTTTTGGAGCTCACTGTAGTTCAAATCAGCTCCCTCAAGCCGCGTCAACAAGTCGAAGAATTTCTGCACCCCTTCTTCAACCGCTTCGTCTTCTTCAATTCGTAGTGCCGCCATTTGCCGTTCCAACACCACCGCTACCGCCGCTGTTGCAGGAGCATGTACACCCTTGAGAGCAGCCCATGCCTTTGGTCCTTTCTCTGGTTCACGCTGGAATGGCTTGATGTGACGGATCTGACTGCTCCCCAACGCTTGCCCAAGTAAGAGATAGCCTTGTGCGCTCTTCCGCACCCACGGGCTCTTCTCCGGGTCGTTCTCGGGGCGCTTCTCCGTTCCTTCCATCACCTCCAGCAGGTCATAGTGGTCAAAGATGTTCTCCATCTTGAAGGACCATTCAGCAAAGTTGTCACCGTTGAACTTGTCAAGCACAAACACCCTAGGCTCATCCCTAGGTGGGCCAAGACTTGGTTGCATGGGCGCCATGGCTGAATCACGGGGTTGGCCTTGAGCTTGAGCTTCTCCACTGCCACCAGCACCTCTGCCACCCCTTTCCTCAGGTCCAGACATTGTCGAAACTGCTCCAAGGCCTCTGATACCACTTGTTATAGTCACAATAGGCTTGAATGTGCCTAAAACGAAAGATAGAGAGCACAGACGGATTTCTGAACAGCGGCTTCAAACGTTGATAGCGTTCTGCTCACAGCTGCAAATGACTTGATTCAAATTGGATCTGGAGCGTCTTCACGTCGTCTACAATTAGCAATTTAGATTGCACGATTTGATAAAGAATTGACGACACAGCGTCGGTTTGAACGAACGGTACTATGGCAGCCACTATAGTCTTAGAAGACAAGATAGGAAGAGTTACGAGTTGGGAATGACTTCCAGCTCCTACAAACCCCAAGAGCCGAGGTACAGTGATGTGGAACAGTGCCACACTGTCCCCAACCACGAAGGGTCTCGAAACTACCCTTCACTAGGGCCTACACCAAGTGAAATGTTACACTACACAAAGTAATGTAACTATCTTCAATATCTTGAGGTGTACCCTTTTGGCAAGCTTCGAAATCACTTGAGGCTTGACACCAAGGCTCGGGCTCTTCATCACAAACTCATCCTTGAGTTCTTGATGGGTCTGCTGCACACACCTGCGACACGCCGAACGTTCGACACAGGACAAAATAGAAACCGCGCACGACAAAATAGAAACCGCGCGCGAGACACAAACGACCGCGTAACACGCGTCTAGCGATAACTCGCTATTGACTCGACACACACACTCGACATCATGACTCAACATTCACACACAATTATAAGCATGAAATATATATTATCCCATGCCCTCATACCATTCCACACACACACACACATTCACGCACACGGACAACAAGCCGAGTGCAAACCGTAGGGTTGCACCAACATTCTCGACCACAACTATTTATGCTCATCACTCTCTGTTTCCTCCTCGTTTGTTTGTAGCCTTTCCATATTGTTGCATCCTTCTCCCTACGCGCCTCCATCTGTCGTTAGGCGACATCGTTTTTGTCAGGATGTAAGCATTTTGCACGATTTTAGGTCTCTCGTCAAAAAATAGTTGCGTCAAACATATATGCTGCTTATTGTGTAGGCTGTAGTGGGGTAGCCCATATGGGGTACAACTCAAATTAGGGTTTGCTACTTGTACCCATCCTGCTGCTAGTTCATCCATTCCTGTTCGTTATTCTGACATGGTTTCAGAGCAGGTTTAAACTAGGACCGATCTCTTAGGGCCCACCGAGTAGCGCTACCCCACCCGTCGCTCTAGTGTGATCACGTCGTACTGCCCTGCACTGCCCTGCCCTGCCCTGCACCGCCCGCAGCAGCGCAAACTGCTTTGCTAGCGCGCCGCCTGCTGCAGCGCGCCCTGCTGAGTCGCGCGCCACCTGCTGCAGCGCGCCCTGCCCTGCCCGCGCGTCGCCCCGCCGCGCACGCCCTTCCTGAGCGCCGAGCCGCCGCGCGCCCTACCCTGCCCGCGCGTTGCCCGCGCCGCGCGCCCTGCCTTGCCCGCGCGCTGCACCGCCGCGCGCCCTGCCCTGCCCGCGCGCCGCGTTGCCGCGCACCCTGCCCTGGGCGCGCGCCGTTTTGCCGCGCGCCCTGCCCTGCCCGTGCGCCTCGCTGCCGCGCGCCCAGCCCTGCTCGCGCGCCGCGCCGCCGCACGCTCTGCCCTGCCCACGTGCCGCACCGTCGCACGCTCTGCCCTGCCCGCGCGCCCTTCCCTGCCCGCGCATCGCACCGCGCGCTCTGCCCTGCCCTGCTCGTGCCCTACGCCGCGCGCCCTGCTCTGCCCGCGCGCCACGCGCTCTGCTCTGCCCGCGCGCCACGCGCCCTGCTCTGCCCGCGCACCCTAACCTGAGCGCCGCGCCCTGCCCTGCCGCGCGCCCTGCCCTGCCGTGCTGCACTGCTGCTAGCGCGCTCCCTGCAGCACTGTTGCTAGTGTGCTGATCTGCTGCTAGCGCGCTCGATTGCTCTGCCTGCTATGGCTGCTCTCAACGTTCTCACCTTCGATTTGGAGGGCTGCCCGATAGAGTTCAATGCATAGCTAGACGACTTACAGCTGTTCCTGCTGACAGACTCTAAGGACGGTACTTCGCTGTTTGACCTCACTTCTGGCACCTCGCCCGCCCCTGACGCCACAGCTGACAGTGCGACCCACTCACAGTGGCTTACCCGTGATGCTGCTACTCGCCTAGCCGTTCGCAACCACCTGATGTTAGCCGAACGCGCCCACTTTGGCCAGCATAAGACAGCAAAAGCACTGTATGACGTTGTAGCCGCTTGTTACTCCTCCCCGGCCACTCCTGCTCTAGGCCGCCTTCTCCTGCCCTACCTATTCCCAGAGCTGTCCGCCATTGCCACAGTAGCCGACCTAGTCACTCACCTCCGCACTAGTGACACTTGCTACCGTGCTGCGCTCCCCGCCGAGTTTCTCACCAAGAACCCTCCCCCCCCCCATGTACACCACGCTCTACTTCATAGTCACCCGCCTCCCTGACTCTCTCAATGCAGCCAGGGACCTCCTCCTTGCACTTGACCCTACGGACCTCACTGTCGACCTGCTCGAGAAGCACCTCCTGGCAGCTGAGACTAGCATAGTCGCTGTAGGCACTTCTCGTGGCACTCCTCGCACCCCCTTCTTTGAGGGGTGTTCGCCCTCCCCCCTTCTCCCCTCAGTTGCCTCTGCTGCAGCTGTTGACTACCTTCGTGTTGAGGAGGTAGGGGCTGCGTCTGCCCCTAGTGGGAGGCGCCGCAGCGGCAGGGGCAAGGGAGGGAGGAGCGGTGGGGGTGGCAGAGGTGGAGGCGGTGGTGGGGCCGGTGGAGGCGGTGGAGGGGTTGGCGGCGGAGGAGGTAGTGGTGGTGGGGGCAGAGGGGCAGGTGGCGGCGGTGGTGGCGGCGGTGGGAGTGGTGGAGGCAGCGGTGGTGGCTACGGTGGTGGCGGCAGTGGGGGTGGAGGCGGAGGCAGTGGAGGCGGCAGGGGTGGTACCAGCCAGCGGGGAGGCCTTGAGGGTGGCAAGAGGCAGCAGCAGCGTCAGCCCCTTTCGTCTCAGGAGCTCCGTGAGTGGTTTGCTCAGCGTGGGGCGGCTGGGGGTAGTGGTTCCTGCCTGTATGTCATTCGCATAGGTGACCGCACTGGTCAGACATGCAGGAGGCCTCACACTCTGCACCGCTGCTTCTACCGTCTTACCGACGCTTTTCGCGCAGAGTTTCCCGATGCACCTGAGCTCCCCAACTGGGCGGAGCTGCTTAGGCAGAATGTTGATATCTTTGCTCTAGACTTTGATGCTATCCTATCTGCCATGTATGCATTGTCTGTTGGTGCTGAGGGTGACTGTTACCTGTATATGCCGCCAGTCCCAGGTATAGAGGCTGCTGCTCTAGGTGCTAGTGAGTCTGCTGCCCTAGGTGCTGGTGAGTCAGCTCTCTCTGGTACTGCGTCTGCTGCGGCCCTGCACACCTTCACGCTTGACTCAGGTGCCTCCCGCTGTTTCTTTCGCGACAGTACCACAGTCACACCGCTCTCTGCACCTGTTGCTCTCTCTTTGGCTGACCCCTCTAGGGGCCCAGTCCTTGCACGTTCCTCCACTGTTGTGCCCTGTCCGGCGGTTCCATCTAGGTCACTATCAGGTCTCCACCTCCCCTCGTTCTCTACGAACTTGGTAAGCACTGCTGTCCTCCGGGATGCGGGGGTTGACACCTTCACCCCTGGACGGCAGCGTGTGGCGATCTGTACGTGCTCCCGGACCGGTCGCCACCTGGCCACGTTCACCCGTAGGCCTGGGTCGAGTCTGTACACACTGACTACTGCGCCTCCTCAGGTAGCTGCGTCTGCATCTGCGTCAGGTGAGCTTGCTGCCCCCTGCTCCTGCCGCGCCCTGTCGCACCAGACGCTCCTTTGACACCACCGTCTTGGTCACCCCTCTGTGGCACGCCTTTGTGGCATGCACTCCCGTCTCCTTGTCTCTGGTCTTCCCAGGTCTCTGCCTCCCCTCCCACCCTCGCCTGCCCCTCCCTGCCTTCCCTGTGTCGTAGGGTGGCAGCGCGCCGCTCCTCACTCCTCCTCGTTCCCCCCGACAGAGGCTCCCCTGCAGACTCTCCACCTGGACGTGTGGGGCCCAGCCCGCGTCCGTGGACAGGGCCACGAGCGGTACTTTCTGCTAGTTGTCGACGACTACTCGCGTTACACCACGGTCTTCACCTTGCGCCGCAAGGGGGAGGTCCCTGATGTTCTGATCCCTTGGATCCGCGCTGTTCGTCTCCAGCTCCGCGAGTGGTTCGAGACGGACCTTCCAGTCCTGCGTCTGCACTCTGACAGAGGTGGTGAGTTTTCCTCCAACCTCTTGCGGGCCTTCTGTCGTGTGGAGGGCATTCGCCAGACGTTCACGCTTCCGGCCTCTCCGCAGCAGAATGGGGTTGCTGAGCGCCGCATTGGCTTAGTCATGGAGGTCGCTCGTACCTCCATGATCCATGCGGCTGCCCCCCATTTTCTGTGGCCATTTGCAGTCCCGTACGCTGCGCATCAGCTCAACCTCTGGCCCCGTGTCTCCTTGCCGGAGACCTCGCCCACACTGCGTTGGACGGGGAAGGTTGGAGATGCGTCAGTGTTCCGGGTCTGGGGATGTCGAGCCTTTGTCCGCAATACGTCCGCGAACAATCTCTCCTCCCGCGCCGTTCCCTCTGTCTTCCTTGGCTTTGTCCCTGACGCGCCTGGCTGTCAGTTTTACCGCCCCAACTCGCGCCGTGTCCTGCCCTCTTAGGACGTCACGTTTGACGAGTCGGTTCCCTTTTACCATCTCTTCCCCTACCGCACTGCCCCTCTCCCTCCCCCACCGCTCTTCCTTGCACCAGGTCCTCCTCCGGTAGACCCCCTCCCCCCTCAGAGTCCTGCTCCCTTAGGTGTGTCCCAAGAAGACCCTATCGAGCCTGTCGAGGTAGCTGTCGACTCTGGTGCTGCTAAAGGTGCTGCGTCTGGGGGTGCTGCGCCTGCGGGTGCGGGGCCTGGGAGTGCTGAGCTTGAGCGTGCTGAGCCTGGGGTTGCTGAGTCTGGGGATGCGGAGCCTGGAGGTGCTGAGCCTGAGCGTGCGGAGCCTGGGGTTGCTGAGCCTGGGGGTGCTGAGCCTGGGGGTGCTGAGCCTGGGGGTGCTGAGCCTGAGGGTGCTGAGCCTGCGTGTGCGGAGCCTGGGGGTGCTGAGCCTGGAGGTGCTAAGCCTGAGTGTGCTGAGCCTGGAGGCCCTTCGGGTGTCGTGTCATGGCCGTAGTCTCTCTCTCCCATGCAGCTGCGCGAGTGGTTTGCTCGGCGCTGGAGCCTTAGGAGTGGTGCTGCTGGAGCTGGAGCTACTGGAGGTGCTGGAGCCACTAGTCCCGGAGGTGCTCGTACTGGAGGTACTGGAGCTGCTGGGGCTGGAGGTGCTGCTCGAGCCACTGGAGGTGCTGCTGGAGCTGGAGCTGCTTGAGGTACAGGAGCTGCTGGAGATGGAGGTGCTTCTAGAGCTGGAGTTGGAGTTGCTGCTGGAGCTGGCTCTTTTGGAGGTCCTGGTGCTGTCGGTGCTGGTGCTGGAGGTGCTGTGCGGCCGCGACTGTACTTTGTTCCACTGCTTCAGCAGGTTCTTGGTCCCCCGCCTTCTGCTGACCATGCTCCTCCCTTCCTGTGTCCACCGCCTGACGAGTCCCAGCCACAGCTATAGCCAGCCTTCCCGCTGCCTACTCCTTCTCCTTACACTGAGCAGCCCGGAGGTCTTACTGAGCGTCGTGAGCCTGCGTCTCGTCATGCGTTGCCTGTTCGCGCTGGTCGCACTGGTCGTCGTGTTCCGCGTCCGCGTCCTCCTCCTGTCCCCGGCACGCACCAGATGGCACTTCGTCCTTCCTCTGTTCCATTGCGTATCTCTCTGCCATCTCCCCCTGCGTCCTCCCTTGCTGACGGTCCGAACCCGGAGTCTGACTCCCTTCATGCTGGTAGTCCTACTGTCATGTGTCTCCTGGCCACTCTTGTCACTGACCTTTCCTTTGAGTCCACTGCTGCATCTGCCTTCGTTGCCGAGCTTGTCGACTTTGCTGCTCGCTGTCGTCTAGACTACGCCGCTAGCCTTGTTGCCGAGTCAGAGCCTGTCTGTCCTACGTCCGTCGAGGGTGAATGTGCTCTTGGCACGGACGTTCTTGAGGACAGGCAGGAGGACTTTGAGTGCTTTGTAGCTGCTGTACCTCATCTCATGTCCATGCTGATTGCACCTGAGGGAGACCCGGATGCACCAAACATCCCGACCCCGCGCTCTTATGCAGAGGCGATAGAGGGTCCCTACTCCTCTCAGTGGCAGTCAGCCATGGACGCAGAGATGGCATCCTGGAAGTCCGCAGGCACTTACGTCGATGAGGTTCCCCCACCTAGGACGAACATCGTCAGTGGCATGTGGATTTTCAGGGTGAAGCGGCCGCCGGGTTCTCCGCTTGTCTTCAAGGCGTGTTACGTTGCACGAGGCTTCAGTCAGCAACATGGAGTTGACTTCTTCCAAACCTTCTCCCCTACCCCGAAGATGACCACTCTTCGGGTGCTGCTGGACGTCGCCGCTCAGCGTGACTACGAGCTTCACTCTCTTGACTTCAGCACTACTTTCCTACAGGGCAGCCTGCACGAGGAGATCTGGCTGCGCTGCCCACCTGGTTTCATTGGGTCGTTTCCTGCAGGTACCAAGTGGAGCCTCTGGCGGCCAGTCTACGGTCTCCGCCAGGTGCCTCGCGAGTGGCACGACACACTGAGGACGACTCTTGCGGCTCTTGGGTTTGCTCCTTGTACTGCTGACCCGTCGCTGTTTCTGCGTACCGACACTTCGCTGCCGCCGTTCTACATCCTCGTGTACGTCGACGACTTGGTCATTGCCACCGCTGACACTGCTGGACTGGCCCACATGAGAGCCGCCTCGTTCTCCTCCAGTTCTTGTTATAGTCACAATAGGCTTGAATGTACCTAAAACGAAAGATAGAGAGCACAGACGGATTTCTGCACAGCGGCTTCAAACGTTGATAGCGTTCTGCTCACAGCTGCAAATGACTTGATTCAAATTGGATCTGGAGCGTCTTCACGTCGTCTACAATTAGCAATTTAGATTGCACGATTTGATAAAGAATTGACGACACAGCGTCGGTTTGAACGAACGGTACTATGGCAGCCACTATAGTCTTAGAACACAAGATAGGAAGAGTTACGAGTTGGGAATGACTCCCAGCTCCTACAAACCCCAAGAGCCGAGGTACAGTGATGTGGAACAGTGCCACACTGTCCCCAACCACGAAGGGTCTCGAAACTACCCTTCACTAGGGCCTACACCAAGTGAAATGTTACACTACACAAAGTAATGTAACTATCTTCAATATCTTGAGGTGTACCCTTTTGGCAAGCTTCGAAATCACTTGAGGCTTGACACCAAGGCTCGGGCTCTTCATCACAAACTCATCCTTGAGTTCTTGATGGGTCTGCTGCACACACCTGCGACACGCCGAACGTTCGACACAGGACAAAATAGAAACCGTGCACGACAAAATAGAAACCGCGCGCGAGACACAAACGACCGCGTAACACGCGTCTAGCGATAACTCGCTATTGACTCGACACACACACTCGACATCATGACTCAACATTCACACACAATTATAAGCATGAAATATATATTATCCCATGCCCTCATACCATTCCATACACACACACATTCACGCACACGGACAACAAGCCGAGTGCAAACCGTATGGTTGCACCAACAAACTCCCCCTCGGATTGTTGGCCTTAGGATATGTTGCTCTCTCAGTTCAGAGCCATCCCAGCCAGCTTGCAACACTTCCAATGCTGCTGCTCCACCAGCCTCTTGGTCATCATGTCAGCCGGCTGCCCCGTGGTCTTCACGTAGCGCAACTCAACTTCACCCGCGGTTACCATGCTCCTCGTCCAATGCCACTTCACCCTCATGTGCTTCGTGAGTCCATGCAACACAGGGTTCTTAGCAAGAGCAATGGCACCCTGGCCGTCACAGTACAGTGGGGTAGGTCCTTGCTGCTCCTCCCCCAATTCAGCCAACAAACGCCGCTGCCACACAATCTCCCGTACGGCACGGAAGAGTGCCATGTACTCGGACTCCACCGAGCTCAAAGCTTGGTCAACCTGCTTCTTGCTCTCCCAAGCAGTTGGGCCTCCACCAACACAGCATATGAAGCCTCCCACACTTGTCATGTCCTCTGGTTCTGATGCATATGAAGCATCCGAGTAGGCGGTGAGGAACAAACGCCCGGGTTCAACACCATCCGCGCCCTTTTGGCGCCTTTGTGCCGCCGCCGAGTATTGCAGCCCAACGGTCGGTGTTTGGCCAAGATACTTGGCCACCCTCATTCCAGCTGCTACCTGCTCCTCATTAGGGCATTGCACAACCCTAGCCAGCTGCCCGGTAGCAAACGCGACGTCCGGTCGGGTGTTTACCGCCGCATACATGAGGCTGCCCACCAACGAGTGAAATCGGCGCCTCTCCTCTTCACCAACGCTCTCCTCCTCTGGTCCCTTCACACACTTGAACCCAGAGGGAAAGGGTGTAGCCACATGGCCTTCACTCTGCCCAAAGTTGGCAGCCAATGCCTCCAGGTACTTTCGTTGATGCACCCGCATGCACCGCTTCTCCACATCTCGTTCGATGTGGAGCCCAAGGTAGAAGCTCACGTCACCAAGGGCCTTGCACTTGAACTTGTCTTGAAGCTTCAGCATCACCTCCTTCACAAGGTCAGAAGAGGGTGAGAAAATGAGGATGTCATCCACATAAACCACCATGAAACTCCTCTGCTCCCCCTCGCCAAGCATGAACAAGGAGTGATCGGCCGTTGAGGGAGTGAAGCCGATCCCCTCCAACACTTCGCGCAGCTTCATGTACCATTGCCTAGGGGCCTGCTTCAGCCCATAGAGGGCCTTATTCAGCTTCCACACTCTGCCACTACCATCATCGAACCCCTCTGGCTGCGCCATAAAAATCTCCTCCTCAAGGATGCCGTTAAGGAATGCCGTTACGATGTCCATTTGCTTTACTACCCATCCTTTGATGGCGGCTCCCGCGAATAGGGTTTGCAGCGTCGTCGGCTTCACCACAGGGGCAAACAGCTCCTTGAAGTCCACCTTCTCCTTCTGCTGGTACCCCTTGGCTACAAGCCTAGACTTGTAGCGCTCAATCTTGCCGTCGGCATCCGACTTGATTTTGAAGAGCCACTTGGACGTTATCGCCGTACGCCCCTCCGGTAGCTCCACCAATTCAAACGTGTCATTCTCCTCGATGCTCTTCAGCTCACTCTCCATGGCCTTCTTCCACTCCTCAGCATCACTACTCTCCAAAGCCTCCTTGAGAGTTGCTGGTTCTCCCGGCATCTCCACCGGAGAGAAGAACGCGAAGGCACACTCCTCGTAGTCACTCTCCTCGTCGTCTCCGACCATCATTGCCGCTCCGGCCAGGGCTGTCTTGCCCTGCTTTCCCGGCGCATCATAGGTCAGCCTATTAGGGGGTTGAACTCTCCTCTTCCCCCTTCCTTCCTCCTCAGCTGCAGGGACTTGAAGGCCTTGGCGTTGCTGCGGTGTGGCTCGAATCCGTGGAGCACTCGTAGTACGGGAAGGGAGTGACGGTGCACGCTCGCTCACTTGCTGCACCTCCTCCTCTTCTTCCTCTGCATCATTGGCCTCCTCTCCCCCATTCACAAGGGAGGATTGCCTTGTGGTTGTGCTGCCGCTGCTCAGCTCCAAAGGCAGCTCCACATGCTCCAAACCGGAACTCTTCACCTCCCCAAACCGCACGCCTATCTTCGCCTCATTCTCCGCCTTCCAATCCTTGTACATGAAGTTCTCCATGAACTTGCAGTCCCTGCTCACCAAGAACTTCTTGGTGAATGGGTCCCAAAGAAGCCATCCCTTGCTGTTTTGAGCCATGCCCAAGTGCACGGCCCACACCGCCTTGGCACCAAGCTTGTTGTGCCGAAGATGCTTAGGCACGAGCGCCATGCACATGCACCCGAACACCCGAAGCATATCCACCTTTGGCTTCCTTCCTAGCCACTCCACATAGGGCACCCATTTGTCTGCTCCCACATGAGTCAAGGCTCTGTTCTTGGCCACACACGCGCTCCGCACCGCATCAGGCCAGAAATAGTCGGGTAGCCCGGCTTCAATGAGCAACCCGCGTGCCGCCTCTGTGATTGTGCGGTTCGCTCGCTCGGCGATGCCGTTCATTGCAGGGGAGTATGGCATGGTGAGGGAGTGCCGAATACCATTCTTCTTCAGCCACAACCCAAACTCCTTGCTCAGGAACTCTCCCCCTCGATCGGTGCGGATTGACTTGACTAGACGGTCTTGTTGCCGCTCCACCATCGGGAACCAATCCGTCTTCAACGTTTCAGCCACGTCGCTCTTCTTGGCCAGCACGTACACCCAAGTCATGCGGGTGTAGACGTCGACAATGGTGAGAAAATACTCAGCTCCAGCAGCTCCAAGCTTCAGGGGGCCCACCACGTCCATCACCACCTCATCAAGCGGTGCCTTTGCCGTTGCCTCCGAACTAGGGAACGGAAACCGGGTGAACTTGGCTTGAATGCACGTCGGGCAGCCAAGCACCTCATCGGGCTCCCCCTTCACACGTATGCCAGCAACCATCTCATTCTTCACTAGCTGCTGCAAGATGGGCAGGGCCACATGCCCCATGCGCCGATGCAAGGTGAGCCAATCACACTCCCCCGTAGCCGAAGTTGGATTGGAGAATGCCGCGCTCGCAATAGCGCCCCACATACTCTCTCCGTAGTCCTCCTCCGCTGCTGCCTCTGGGTTCTCCTCACCCTTTTGCTGCTCCTTGGTTGCTGCACCACTCTCCTTAGGTTCACTGAACTTGCTGGTCCCTCCAGGTTTGCTCTTCTTGAGCTCATTCTCCTTAGCGCGACCGTTCGCGCCATCGTCGCTACCGACCGCTCCATCCTTGGTGCTGATGCTTGCTGCCACTTGCCTCTCCTTAGGCATAGGGACCACTGGGATCTGCCACATCTCGTTGTAGACATCCCTGTCCTCATGAAGGTCCCAAAGAATTCGATCGCCAAGCCTTGCGGTGTAGGTCTTGGCTCCCTTCGAGTTCGTGTCCATGCCGGCCTTTGCCAACCGCCGCACGGAAATCAGGTTTGCAGCAAGGCTGGGCACCCAAAGCACGTTCTTGAGGCCCACCATCTTCCCATCAGCACCCTTGAACATGGCCTTGCCCATGCCTTTCACCTCTGCTCGCTGCCCCAAAGCCGATGTGACATGCTTCACCGGTGACGGCTCGAGTTCGGTGGGCAAGTCCGGGCGAGGTGTCATGCTATAGGTAGCGCCACTATCAATCACCCAATAGTCCAGGGGGTGTAGGGTCACCTTCCCCACAGCTGCTGGCTCCTCAAAGCCTTCATCCTTCTCTGGACCAGCCGGTACTTGCGTCGACACGAAGTAGAATAGACCCGGGTATCGATCGTCGCTCGGGTCCTTGTCGTTGTCTCCGCTCTTCATGTTTGCAGCTCCGCCACCGCGACCGCCATGGCCTCCACGGCCTCGTCCTCTCCCTCCTCCTGCTCCTCTACCCTCTTGGCCTTGAGCAGGGGTCCAACCATCAGGGAGTTTGTAGCAGTCGCGCCACATGTGTCCGCTCTTGTGGCAATAGTGACACTCGCCGTCGAATCGGCCGCGACCGCGTCCGTAGCTCTTGTCGTCGCTGCCGTAACCGCCACTCCTGCGGCCTCCGCCGAAGTTGCTGCCACCAAACCTTCCTCCCCCTCGTCCTCTGCCTCTTCCTCGACCATATCCACGGCCGATGCTCGCTGCCCCAGCGCCATCCGCACTCGCCAACTCACGGCGGCGGAAATCCTCTTGAAGGATAGCTCGCTTCACGTCTTCAAGCGAGAGGCGGGGCAAGTCGCGATTAAGGTTGATGATGAGCGAGGACCATGACTCTGGGAGTAAGGCCAGCAACTTGGTCTTCTTTTGGAGCTCATTGTAGTTCAAATCAGCTCCCTCAAGCCGCGTCAACAAGTCGAAGAATTTCTGCACCCCTTCTTCAACCGCTTCGTCTTCTTCAATTCGTAGTGCCGCCATTTGCCGTTCCAACACCACCGCTACCGCCGCTGTTGCAGGAGCATGTACACCCTTGAGAGCAGCCCATGCCTTTGGTCCTTTCTCTGGTTCACGCTGGAATGGCTTGATGTGACGGATCTGACTGCTCCCCAACGCTTGCCCAAGTAAGAGATAGCCTTGTGCGCTCTTCCGCACCCACGGGCTCTTCTCCGGGTCGTTCTCGGGGCGCTTCTCCGT